TCGAAGGTAGAAGAGTACACTACTACGTCGTCTAAATAACACAAACATGTCGTCCATCTTAGGCCACGTAATAAGGTATCCATCATCCTTTCGAATGTGGCAGGGGCATTGCAAAGCCCAAAGGGCATTACGCGGAACTGGTAAAGGCCGTCAGGTGTCACAAAGGCTGTTTTTTCTCTATCCCTTTCGTCGGCACTAATCTGCCAATAACCAGAGCGCATGTCGATTGAGGAAAAGTACCGGGAGCCATATAGGGTATCAAGGGCATCATCTATACGTGGCAGAGGATAGACATCTTTTTTTGTGATCTTATTCAAACGCCTGTAATCGACACAAAATCTCCAACTGCCATCTTTCTTCTTCACGAGGACAACCGGTGAAGACCAGGGGCTAGATGAGTCTTCGATTATTCCTTGTTGTAACATGTCATTGACCTGCTTTTGAATAAGTTGGCGTTCAGTTTGGGAAACGCGATAGGGACGGCTTCGTACTGGGCGGTGGTCTCCTGTGTCGATAGTATGTTGTACAGTGGAGGTTCCACCGAAAGGTTTCGCATCGATGTCAAATATATCGGTAAAATTGTGTAGAAGCTTTGATAACTTGTCACGCTGTGTAGGCGGTAAATGAGGGTCGATCATTGTCAAGAGTGCGTCAGATTTGTGTTCGCATGGTTTAGTAGGTGGTGACTCTTGTTGGGATGGTGTGAGGCTAACACTATTAATGTGTTGGATTGCCTGAATGTCTGCGGTGCCGACGCACGTACCAGCGGACAAAACCTGAGTAAGATGCGTCGTATTAGTAACCCAAACAGAAGTTCGGTGGCCGCGGGAGGCTGCAAGTGCTGTAGGTAAGGCAATACCTTTTTGAAAAAGAAGTTCCCTGTTAGGTTCAATCAAGTAATCAGAGTCGCTGACGTCTGCATCTAGCTGTATGAGCGCTGTGGTTAATGGTGGGATTCGGTAGTCGGAGGCGGATCGAAAATCAACGGTTTGGCACGGAGCGGAGTCGGGCGAGATTTCAATGTCACTTAAATGCACTTCTTTCCTACCACAATCAATAAGGGCGTGACGGGTAGCTAAAAAGTCCCATCCGAGGATAACATCATGGCTGCAGTGAGATAAAATGACAAAACAATGGCGATGAGAGTCAGTGCCAATGGTTATGGAGACGGAAACCACGCCGAGCGGATGAGTCAGAGATGTGTTAGCAGTGCGGATACATCCACCTTCCCAAGGCGTGCCAACAAGTTTTAACTTTTTTCTAACGTTTTCACTGATAATCGAAATAGATGCACCAGTGTCGATTAATGCCGTGAATCTCACCTTCTTGATAATAATGTCTAGTAGGTTTGAAGATGAAAATGATGGCGGGGGATGTTGATTTGATGTAGAAGCAGCTGTACCCCCTTGAGCTGCCGCTTTTAGTTTTCCCCGTGAATGAATGACTTAGGAAAGGTCTGGTCGGACCGGAGGGGTGATGATGAGCGATAGACAGGTGATGGGGTCCTGCTGCGGCGACCACGGTTGCCGGGGGACGCTGAACGTCGTGGCGAGCTGAGTCTGGTGGGGTACCTCGTGTCCCAATCGCCGCGATCTCGGTTGTCGTAACGGTCTTCGCTGAGGTCATATGGAACTGGCCGTCGTGACGCGTATACAAGTCGAGATGTGTCCCACTGGCGACGGTTACAGTAGCGTGCGACATGTCCCTGGATGCCACAATAGAAACAAATAGGGCGCCGAGTGGGCTGAAGATACTGCTGGTGCCAACCGCGATCCCCGTTGTTGTTACGCTGAGTAGGATATCTTGGCTGCTCGACAGGCTGATTGAAAGAATTCTGGTGGTAGTGTGCGGGTGAGGCAGCGCACACAGTTTCTGTGAGAGTTGGAGTCGATGCCGATAATTCTTCGCGGATGAGCTGCCGAAGGCTGTCTTTAGTCGTGGTTTGCTGCTCAGCTGCAAGAGGAAGCTGGGCCGACGGCAACAGGAGCGCGAGTTCCTCTTTGATGAGGTCTCTGATGAGAGTTTTCAGCTCACTAGTCGGAGCGGATGCTGAGGGGACGCAGTTTTGCAGCCTGGAAACGGTGGCTTGGCCAGCGATGCGTCGGTTCCTATGCGCTTCCCATCGTCGACACTCCTCCTTTAATTGAGTTACCGTAGTTGGGTTGCGCGACACCAGCATAGTAAACGCGTCTTCGGCGATGCCTTTCAATATATGTGCCACTTTCTCGGACTCGGGCATTGCAAGATCCACGCGTCTGCAGAGGGCTAGGACGGCTTCGATGTAAGTGACTACTGCCTCGCCCACCGTCTGTGCACGAGAAGCAAGCGCGTGTTTTGCGTTTTCTTTGCGGCTAACCGGGCAACCAAACACGTCAGAGAGCTTCGTCTTGAAGTCATCCCATGAGCTGATCTGGTCCTCGTGGTTGTCGAACCAGACCTTGGCGGTGTCGCGGAGGTAGAACACGACGTTAGCGAGTTTAAATGTGTCGTCCCAGGCATTATGGAGGCTTGCCCTTTCGAATGTACGAAGCCACTCCTCGACGTCGTCTGTCCCGAAGCCGGCAAAGCTGGGGGGGTCCCTGTGACGATACAGGATGGATCCCGTGCGAAGTGGAGCGGCTTGCTGCTCACCTTGGGCCATTCCGGCCGGTGGTAGTTGGCGGTTGCTGCGAAGTAACGTGATGGCAGCAGAGGTGCGAGGAAGGACCAACCTCCACCAAGTATGTTGCGTTGTTCCGGGTCCAAGCAAGGAGACGACTGTTTGCGGTTCGGCTTTTTAATTCCAAACTGACCGCCACCGGCGCGAGCCCCTCGCTCGAGTCCGTGGCGCCGAGACAGCCCGTCGTCTTCTTCCTCGTAGCAATATATATATATATTCGGTTCTATATATATATATATATATATATATATATATATATATATATATATATATATATATATGAACGAATATGTGTAGATGAATGAACCGTACTTAATCCAATGAATTAAGGAATCCAAGTTTTTCAGGAACCCGCCGAAAGCCGAAAAACGGCGGAGCCAGGATTTCGGCTTTCGGCGGGTTCTTGAAAAACTTGGATTCTTTAATTCATTGGATTAAGTACGGTTCATTCATCTGCACATATTCGTTCATATCCTCCTCGGAGACCACGTACGATGACGTGAAGTGCCCGTGTTGTATATATATATATATATATATATATATATATATATATATATATATATATATATGTGTGTGTGTGTGTGTGTCTGTGTGCGCGTGTGAGTGTGCGTTCGTGTGTGTGTGTGCGTGAGTGCGTGCTTGCTTGCATGTGTGTGTGTATGTCTGTGTGTGTGTGTGTGTGTGTGTGTATCACTATAGTGCAATGTGAAGGCTCATTCACACTGCCCCATTTTCTTACATTAATTTACGTTGCGAGATATTCCGTTCAAGTCACCGGTACCTGTGTGCTTCGCATTAAGCATGGCTACCAGTTCAAGAAAAAAGCATGATACGCGATATTCGAGACACGAATATTTGTGTTACTTATACGTAACGTACCTTAGCTTAAGAAAATGGGGCAGTCGGAAGGAGCCTCTAGGGAATATAATGTTTTTTAGAGCGATTAATTTTTTTGTTTTTGTTTTTCAATGTAAGTGAAGAAGCCGAAAAAAATACACACATTATTATCTGGTTGCTTGGGTAGTGGAAGGTTTATCTGCTTAAAATAGCGAATGGTACTCTTACGCTACAAGAGCAATTTCGCCAATGCACGCAGAAAGCTAATTTGGGTTTCTTTCATCACGCAGTAGCGATTAAGCTTTTTAACCGTCAAGTGTTGCAGTACCTTCGCATACACACAACAGTAATTGATACGGCAATGTTTCGGTTTTTTTAGATAGACACATCCGCACCAAAGATCAAGGCGTACCCGAACCAACCGCAAATAACGGCTGAGCTAATTGTCTAAAATGTTTGTTTGTGCTAGTTTGTTGCTTAAATTGTCTAAAAATAATTATCTTCCCTTTTTCCTTTGGGTCCCAAAATACCCTTCGGTTTCTGTTTCCGGTCGCCAACAATAGTTGCGCCACTAGGCATTGACGCTGCAGACACCAAGTCGCTTGTGTAGCTCAAGCAGGCTTCGCGTGGCTTAGTCACATGAGGGGCTCAGCATGCCAGGAAGACACAGGAGCCATATAGTTTATTATCAGACCGCAATCTACTCCTCTCATTTGCATTACACAGCGCGACTACAGCACCAGACACCCCCCCCCCCCCCCCCCCCCCCCGCTAGCGGTGTGAGCACTTTGCGTACTGAAAACGCACTCGCATTGCGCTGCCCACGCGGTCGCACTTTCCCACTGCAGTGAGAGAGAGGGCTGCCGCAGGGGCACCGAGGTAGCGGAACCGCCGAGACAGCAGAGACGGCTGTGCCTGCTCTCTTAACTGGTTTCCACGACGATAAATAGCGGCAGCCGCCGTTCCCAATTCCAAATGGAAACCCCCGAGGCTGCTAGCGTCCAGCCATTTCCAATTACGCAAAAGCTTGTCGGAGCCAAGGCCATTGGATTTTCGAGGGGGCTGGTTCAAGAACTTTAGACTGCTTACAATGGAGTGCCCATTCGGACATCTTTGCCTAACTTACGACGAGAGAGAACACTGGCACGCCATCTATGACGTGCCATAGAACGGAATTTCACTAGCGCGTAGGTTTTAGGGTATTTACGAAGTCAATCTTGCCTACTATTTATGAAAGATGGTCGTTCAAAAAAACTCACAATAGGTTTTCAAGCCAACAGGGGAATACTTCGCGAGAAAATCGAAAATACACAAAAATCGCAAGTGTCCCAAGGCTAAGCCGTAGATGTCTTCTCTCGTCGTGTTCGTACGAGATCACAAAAGGTCGTAACGAACTCAATCGCAAGCAGTCGCCAGTTTGTGAACGAGCCTTACGATGTGTTTGCGAGTAAAGTATTTGCACAAAGGGCGCTCCACAACCTGATTTTTTTTCTCTCCTTCACAGGGATCCGAGTTACGTGCCGCACGATGGTGAAGTGCACGGCGACCGTGGGAAAGGTCGTTTTGAGCGTCTCGTGTGGCCACAGTACGAGGCCGCTCACCAGAAGTACCTCCTCATTGGTGAGTTTTCGCTGACGCTACCAGGGAGCGTGGAGCGCGCCTACGACTGCTGTGTTCACCGCGCCCTCAACTTTTGGCCCTCAAATTTCTGCCTGACGACTTCATAAAGGTGTCGTGCATGATGCCTGCCGGGATCCTGATGCTGGCGCATCTGCGAAGCTGATGCGATAGACGCCTGTTCTGCTGCAGGTCGCTCAAAGGTCAGACAGTGGACAGAAAACCAAAGCAGACACGAACTGAGATGCCGCGACATCTACCACCTTTGCAGCAGCTCGACATTTTCGCCAGAATTTCTAAAATGAACCGCCAGGATGGCGACATCCGACAGCATAACACAAAGGCTCTTGTCACGCAGTCTGTGGCCAATTGAGAATCGCTTTGAATTCATAGGGGGTATGGGACCGTAAAACCATTCGAAGGCGCGTTAAAAACACGGTAACACTTTGCGAGAGTCTCTGCTATTTCTCACTAACCACGACCTGTGCGCCTAAGTACAAAAGTATTCACCTATTGATCGTCTCTGATCGCTTTCATTGGAGATGTCACTCCGGGGCATAACCAAATATCGCCCTTCTGCGTCCTCGCGTCTTTTTTGCCCGGAATCAATATTGCCATTCAAATTAAATTGAGATTCTAGGGGCGTGCATTGCAAGATCTGTCTAATAATCTACACTAATTTCTATAGAGCCCCGTGCTTGCAGCGGACATTTCAGTCTAGTCACTCAACTTCAGAAAGGCTCTTATGATCACGATGCGCGGTGTTTCGTTCTGCAGCGCTCTTGTCGAAGAATTCCGCAATCTTCTTGAGTGCCGATCCACAATAGACGCTCTCGCTGCGGCCTGGGTTCGTAAAAGGGGGCACGAAAATTAAACAGGCAGTTTATTTTCCCAGTCGAACGATTATACGTTACATAGCATGTACACCAGGTTTCGCGAATTCTTAGAGCTGTAGTAATTGCAATAATTAATTTATGAATGTTGATCATTCCGTCTGGCGGCCAGGCAATACTGCTCATGCTAGTCACATCATGGTCCACATAAACCACGTGATCATCGTATTTAGTTAAACGCTGTCTCATTCTAGGCGCCCCCTTGATCGCCCAGACAGCCCAGCTCGCCTAGCCACAGTACGATCGCACACTTTCAAGGCCCATTCTCACATTGGCGTTCGAACGCGTTTGAAAGCGTCGTGGGGTACGACGCCTGCCGTCCCGCGACGCTAATAGCGCGGCGCAAGAGACTCGCTCAACTTTCCCAAGCGTTGCTGTGCGTTCGACCAATCAGAAGCCGAGAGAGGAGAGAAGGGTAACGTGTTCGCTCGCGCCACTCGGCGAAGTGTATCCGGTTGTCCGCTCACAGAACTCGTTTTTTTTGTTGTTGTTTTTTTTTTTTCGTGTTGGGGAGCGGTGGGGACTTCTTTTTCTGAGGCTGCAATGGTTAGAGCTCGGTAGAATACCGGGGAAGCCAGCGGGATGGTTCCAAGATCGAACACTCCTTTGAGTTGAGATCGAACACGCTGCTGAGTCGGAAAAATAGTCTGCTAAAAACGGTGGCTCTCGGCGCCGTATCCTCGTTCGTTGGCGGCAGTTGGTGTTGCTACCGCTTGCGCCATCTCTAGTCTCCTGTGCCAAACGGTGCCCTATTTTTTGAAGACCGTTGGCTTCGCTGCGTTTCCATAGAAGTTACGCATTTGTTTTTACCTTTTCCTCCGGTAAGAGCGCTCTTTGCAAATTTTGTAGAAAAAGAGCACCACCTCTGGACACCGCAGTACAAAATCATAGCGCGATAGGTGAAGAAACCGATTTTTGCTGTTGATTAAAGAGCCTGGCCGCTATTTGAGACACCCTGTAGAAACCCTGTCAGTTCCATGACGGAGCCATTGAACGCGCGGCTGCCAGAAAGATGCAACGAGCAGCGCTGAACGTTAGCCTAAATGGTAGAGCAGAGCCACTTCCAGGGTATCCTAGAATAACTGTACATGCTCCTTTTGGTAAGAAGAGTATCGCAGTGGTGCTCCCAAGGCGGCCGTGTTGAATCCAAGCCGCACTGCAGGGAAGTGATCGTCGCTTCTGCAAGAGACCCGTAGTCGTGGATGACGTGGCTGTAAGGCGGCGTACTGCGGCGTGCGGAGCAGAGAAGAAATATACCATTTTTATTGCAAGGGCCACCAGGTGGTGTTCTAGTCTTTCACGTGCCAGAGAACTTCCGGTGTATAAAAAGAATGAACAAAAGCCACCTTAACACAGCTGCATGAATTGTAGATGAGTTGTTTAACCCCCAGTCCTCCAGGTGAACGCCAAAAGAACGCAGGAGCGCGAGATCTGTTAAAATGTTTCCAGTATTCTTGTAAACCATCTTGCCTCCTCCAATATGTGATATTGTACAGCAAAGGGCACTCGTTAAATCTCCAACTTTGTTGTCCGTGTAGCGTTTAAGCTTTCTGGCACTGATGACATAAGCAAGCTCAACATGCTTGCAAAGACGGTGCAACCGGAAGTCGCTTGGGACGCAAGCGGCGGTTCATGTCTGTAAACAGCAAAAGGGGACGACGCTGTGTCTCTTTATTACTTCGGTAGAGCGTAGTGGCCGACGAAAACTTCGTCGATTCGTCAGCCGTAGCCGCGCTTTTTTGTCTTGTCCGAGGTGCCCGGATGTGCCGGAAGCGAATTACTCCGTGAGTGCTGCAGACGCGAGCAAAGCGATCGACCTCCGTGTCGTCTGCTTCCCTATAGAGGAAACATGCTTGAATACATCACCCGCGTTATAAAACAATGCGATTGTACAGTGCCCAGTGGCTACACATCGTGTTTAATGGTACGTGAACCTTCCGATTCGTTAGATTTTAGTATAGCTTACATCTTTCGCAAACGCAAAGCGAGAAACATGCTCCGCCCGAAACTCGGCACATGCAACCTCGCTTTCCCGCGTAAAATTTGAATTTAGGTCGGCTCAAATGACCTCTCTCCTGCCATTACGGAGTTGACGGAGAGAGGAAAAGGGATGCAATTCTCTGGTTAAGCAAGCGGAGCCTATACAGGTATTCTGGGCCCTGGAATAACCTAGAGTTCCTGTATAGGATGTTTACGGGAGTCAAAGTTTCGCGTGTATTTTCCACGTGCGCCGCGCCGACATTTGCCGAAGTCGATGACGTGAGGAGCAAAGTACCCAGTGACGGGAAGGAAAGCCACCGAAACGGTCTTTTCGCCGAAATTGCACGTGCCCCGGTGTATGTTCCCCTGTTTTCGCCTCCTTCTCCTCCTTTCCCGTTTTCCATGCGCGGCGGCGCGCGCGCTGCGCCACTGTTCGCTCAATCCAGTCACGTGGCGAGCAAAAAGTCCAGTACCGTGCAGGAAAGCCGGCGTTACGGCCACCCGCCGAGGATGAACGCGCAACCCTGCTACCATTGGTATCTGTAGGGGAACTCTAGGGTAACCTTTCAATTGGCGCCAACAATACACGCGTTTGCCTTTCCGAAAAACGACAAGCCGTAATAAAAAAATTAAAAAAATAGGCGCGGGGAAAAACGGAAGCGAGGCGCAATAGAAGAGGGTCAAAACAAAATGTTCTCCCTTCCTGAAAAAAAAAAAATAATAATAATAATAATAACAAGAAAGCAGCGCGCTCGTGTTTTCGGATTTTACCGTTGCGGCATCGCTTGGCGCTGCCAGAGAGAGCCCCTGCGCGTACCCTCTCATCTCATATCCTTTCTGCCTTACAGTGGCCACGTTTTTCGCGATTTGATGGGATTTCTAGAATAGAAGACACTACGCCCCACCCAACAAACAGTGCAGCATTTTCGAATGGGGCGCATCCGAGGGTCCCGCGTAAAAATCAATTTGTACACCAAACTATCGCGCCTTTTTCAAACCATATTTAGCAGGATTATAGAAACATGCACTAAATCCTAGCAGTAGAGTTGTTTCATATTTTTTTTTGTAATGTCCTAAGCACCTTAATTTGTCTCTGACTACAGAAGGTTTGACTTCCAATTGTAACTTTTTCCTTAGCACCTTCAAAATGCAGGAAACGGTAAAGGCATCAGTCACATGTTATAAACTATTTATAACCATGAGTATGAAGCATGCACAATACGCACATACAAAATAAAATACTCAGGAATCCTCGCAAGGGTTATTGAAGCATGCCTATTACTGTTGAGCTTCACTAACAGCGTAATCCAGGCAAATAATTGTGTGACTCAAATTTGCTCACTTTTTAATAAGCTATGTATTGTAACCTGTACATGGCCGCATAGGCCTAGCAATATATTGCGCTAAAAACTTTCCGTAGAGTAAATATTAAAAAAAATAAATGAGGTGGCGTCGTCTTTGTTTTCGGTTGTTTGCTGCTTTTCTAAAGTGTGCGAAAGAAAAAACAAACGACCCGGGGTTGTAAAACCCGAATTACAATAAAGAGGAAAGCTCATGCGGTGTAATAAGGTGGGAACAAAAAAGGTTATATTGTTCGTGCGTGTGTGTGTGTGTAGGGGGGGGGGGGGGGGGGGCTAAGGGGGCTAATGGTGAACTCTGGCGAAGGAAACAAGAAAGCACCGAAACACAACTTAGTTAAATTAGAATACCAAGCTTAACTCGCATGAGCGTGACTGGAGGCAGACGAAGAGAGAGACAGCCTCACCATCCATGTCGTTTGCCTCATTTTTGACGATTTATAACTATCTTCTTATGTGGTATACAATCCTAATGTTAATATTCAGTTGAATAACTGTTTTCATTCCACTTTGTTATCTCCATATTTTGTTTATTTATTAATTGTTTGTTTATTATTTATCTTTTAATAGCGTTCGGCTGATGTTGGCAGCGTTAGGCTATAGTACTCGTACTAAACGAGCAATGAAAATATTGGACACGGGTGTCAGCCAAACACCGACGCAGCCGTCGTATCAAATATGTTCCCGGAGCTCAATCGAACTAGGTGAAGTCGAGAATCCAGGCCTTGTTCTGGACAAACAGATCTGCGTGGAAAAAAAGCTGCACAAGGCT